AAGCAGTATAGCAGTCATGCAGGGCTGGATCCAGGGAACAGGCACTGGACGCATGCGTCTCTTCTGATCGGCACGTGAAGGCGCTCCTTTAGAGGCCACCTTAGGGCGCTGATGGCGCTCTTCTATGGCGGTCATGGGAGGCGGCACACACTTTGGTTGTGGAGGACGGGGACAGGGTTAGCCATGAAGAGCTTAGGTCATCCCCATATTCCAAAGCTTTTCACTTTAATCTCACAAATCATTGCGTTTATTGTGGCGCTAGGTATGTGAAGTTGATTGCATCGTTCATCCGCTCAGCTGTTACGATTTTTATCTCGTGGTGAGAGCAACCACGACTTATTGTTATGAGATTATTACGAGACGCCACTACGCAAGAAGATCCAAGAAGATAGCTGTTATGATCATCTTTTACCCACGTGTTTTGTGGTATTCCAGCCAAAAGCACTGGGGGCCAAGCCAACATTGGGGCAACTCAACATTGGGGGGCCAGGGCCCCCACAAAAGAACACAAATCGACACCCGTGCATTAGGGTGTTGCAAACATTACAGAACAAACACGTCACAAGCAAGGCAAATTAAATGTACCTGCTCTCACAGTGACGAGCAGCGGGTCAAGTGCGAGGTTTTAAGGGAGCATGCCATCCGTTTTCTACTTTCACTTATTGTTAGATCCAGACACGTCCGAGTTGATCGGTAATGCTAGTTTTCTTGAAATCCTGGAAAGCTCAGAATTTGAATGTGAAGTAGCCACTCCTGCGGGACAAATCTCACTGGATTCCCTGCACCACTATGGAAGCAATGCCTTTCATTTGCCTTGCTTTTCCAACGGGTGTGATCTGTAATGCTTGCCTCATGCTAATTGGCAAAAAGCTGGCAGAATAGTTGCTACGAAAACCTGAAAAACTCTGTTCGGAACTAGATATACGCGAGCATGAGGCTGTTATTCCACGAGCACTGCGTCTTGATGGATATCAGCGGCACGCACGTAGTTTGCGTGTGCTATTATCACCAGGACGCGGAGCTGGTGGTTGGATCTGTTGACACGCGAGATGCCACTTAACACGCGCCTGGGTGGCCGGCTGGGTACCCTTCGTTCGAGTGAACGGTCATTTTGATCCCCCCCCCCCTGAGATCTCAGGAACTAAGAGAGCTAGATACACTTAATTTACAGGGTGTGTTGACCTGTACGTCAACTCACTCAGGTCAAAGTTTGAAGTTCCAAGTCATGACCTTTGGGTCAAATAAGGTAAAACAACATAAAATTCCAGGTTGGTCTCCAAAGGGCCCCTAGAACCTAGATAGCCCGTTCTAAGCAAAAGTTCCCACGCTCATTTAAGGTCAGTGACCTTGCTTGACCTTTTGAAGGTCAAGGTGACCAAGCCTGCTTTAAGTTCTGCATTCGAACAAGCGACAAAGATTACACTAGGCAGGATGCTCCTAGAAATGAAAAGTTGACCTGGGTCACTTCAGGTCAGTAACCTATTCTGACCTTTAAGACGTCCATCGAAGGTGCATAATGCGGTTCCTGTAATCAATAGATTCTAAATGAGCACCAGAAACCACCCCGTACAGAAAGCCCTAGAATGATAAAGCAGGTTAGTTTTGACCTTAGTGTGACCTTCATTTATGACCCAGAACGATGTGATATGTTCATTTAATTGCTTTGTTGCCTAAGGCAGCATCTCAGAGATGTATGATTTCGTCTAGCACCCCTTTCTTGGATCAGATTGAACGATTCCCCAGCGATTGCCTTCGTTGAAACCATGACCTGACTTTTACCTGCCATAGGTCAGCGACCTCACAAGATGCATCTATTTTTTTATTCCTGACGATCCGCTATTCAAATTTCTATAGATAAGCAAAATTTGGCGCGGCTACGTCGCGCCGTTCAGAAACCATTCCGGAAAACCTTCAGGGGGGCCAATTTCACCCCCCCCCCCCCATCCGAGCACGTATTGAAAGGACCTACTGAGTCATGCCGTATGTGATGTTCATAGGGGATCCTGCATGATGCGGGAGTGTGTGAATTGTCTGCGTTTAGAATGGTGTGTGATCTAATTTGATTGATGCAATTAATGCGCAAGTAGAGGACAATTTGGATTCGATCAGTAAAATTGGATTTGGCCGGTGGGTGAGCACCGACCGCCGTAATTTAATCGAACTTGGTCTGCCAGCGGATGAGTTTTTGATCAAATTGTCATAAGCCACAGTTGCAGTAATCAGGCATCTCTTTAGGTCCCAACGCCAGGGTAAATTTGCTAACGACCTTTAAAATGGCTACCCGAGTATTGAGCTTTGATCTTTTTGTATTTTTAAGAGTTTTTTCAGAAAACCACACTTTTGTCGCCCAAGACGAAATTCAATGGCTCATTGGTTTGCACCGCAATGCGCGCTACATCCTTCTGTGGTATAGTGACCAGAATCTGGACAGATTGATCATAAAAGGTGTTGCGGGCTGTCAGACATGATGAGGCATAGCACAAATGCGGTTCATACATGTCTACAGGATCTTTTGCCGGAAGTGAAAAGTCTTGTTTCAAAAATGAACAAATATCTTGCTTTGAGATGAATCAGGTACACAGTGCAAGACCAGATTTACTTCTTTGAACACTTGCTTTCATGAGGAGGACTTTGGCGGGAAGCGCAAGTGGCATTACATTGCCAAGTCCCATGGGAAGAACTCTTGCGATGAAGTTGGGGACTTTAAAAAGGGCTGCTACCAGTGCCAGCCTCTGGCGTCTCCATTTCGACCGTATTCCCTCTGCTGATAAGCTATGCCAGTATTTGCTGGGCAGGGCTAATCCGCAGGTGGTATGTTCCTTTGTACCAAAAGGAGAAGTCCTTCGAGCAGAAGATGAGCCTAGTATCAGATTGGCTGCGGCCAAGACTGTCAGGGAGACACTTCGGCTTCGCAGAGTAACCCCAGTGAGTGCTCTGACTCTCATTGTCCGTGAGTTTGTTCCAGGCGTTGGGGGTGAAGTAACGGTCGCCTCATTTCAGTAGCTTTGATGAGTTAGAGTGAGTTAACTGAGTCACCGGCACACTGAGTCGACTTTCACGTGCACGCGAGCCGTTGTCTTATTCAAGCTTACTGCTCTCTCACAAAGTACTCATTTTCCGGTGCATGGGCGGAGAGGCACGTTGGGGGTACTGCGCCGGCAGCCGACGGTGGATGGCGCGAATGAAGCTTAAGTCCCTCATTGTAATCTGTTTTCCAAACCTGTCCAAGCCGATAACCAATAACCAACTGCTGATAACCAAGCCGATAACCAACTGCCTTTTCTATTAATGATCATGAGGTTCAAACTTCGCTATATCACATGAGAAAAGGTTCAAATCGCGTAGGAGAATGATTGTGCGTGGATTGCAAATATTCATAACGCCACCGTCGATATTTTTTGCTACCACAACACGGACACCATATGGAAAGTCGATAAATCATGTCGACACTTTGCACGGTTTTCTTACACCGTAAGGGAAAAAATCGCCGCCGAACGTAGCCCTTCAACCACACAACACGGAAATGCTTGAGGCCCAACATCATAACCGCTCAACTGAAAGGCCTGAAATTGACGCAAGCGACTTCGGTACCGCTGACAACCCCTGCGACTCCTTGTTTTGAAGATCAGAAAGATGAAGGCGTAAGATTGGCCCTTTGATCTGTCCACTTATCGTGGATATCCCTATACGGAATCCGCTAATATAATTAAGTTTGTTCGAGATACTCCTGGTCAAGCGTGGCTTGCCAGCCTGAGGTCAACGTGAGAGCATATGAGAGCAGCGGGTCAAACGGAACCAGAAAGCCTGGGACGCGAAACTGGCCGGCATTTGACCGACTGGCCGACACTGTGAAGACCAGCGGAAAAAGACGGCTGAATACCAACCAGCACCGCTCATCACACCCGTTGACCTTTATTTTACTTGCAATGCAGTCTAGATCAGCCCTTGGCCTGCTTGGTGTGACTGACGGCATGATGTAGATATGCAGAGAGCTGCTATGCACTAAGGCCATAACAACAGAGGCCTGCATACAACAAGGCGCTCCCGATGTGCGCACCTGCAGTTCGGAGGCTGACAGGGCTGTAGCTTCCTATTCAGTTGGAGAGAGGGCTTCACCCCTTCCCCTCCCCCCCCCCCCCTCCGCAACTTGGGCTCCAGACGCTGAACTTTGGGAAGAAAGTGGGCCAAACCTGGGGAGAAGCCCGTTTGTTGGCCTTTTTGGAGGTACGTTGATCGTTTCTCACCGCTCAGCCCCCCACTGCATTTTGTGAAACGGCGCCTCTAGAGGCTGGCTACGGCGCTTGCCCTTCCCGGCACGATGTTATCTTTTTCGCAGTAAACCGGACTGACCGGCAGCCGGACCGTGTCAGCATGGAGGGCGCCGCTTCACCGCCGGTTGTCAACAGAGCGAGTCCACCACGGCGCGATCGGCCGGTTCTCGCTGCCGCCGAAACACTACGGGCCGGCGGGGGGATTCCCGGTGTTTGTCGAGGCAGAGGCCCGGGAAACCCACGTCTTTCACGGCGCCGCTCATTAGCATAACCCGCCTGCGGCCTCAGCGCCGCATTCCTCCGCCCACGTATTCGAAGGGCAGGTAGGACGGCGCGGTCGTTACGTGGCGACCGTAACTACGAAGTGGCCGACTGGCACAGTCCGCTGGCACACATGCCACGCGATCCACGCACGACGTGGCACACATTCCACCCGCTACGCTCTGTTCGCCTCCAACCCTTGCCGAGCTCGTACGCGGAAGCCCGGCCAGGCTCTCGCTCGTCGCCTCGGGCGGGCAGTGACCTTGAGACCGCCGGCTGCGGAGGAGCGGAGGCCTCATTCCCTGCCGGCAGACGCAACCGAGGACCATGACGAGGTGGTCGCACGGCCTGCCGCTCCTGGCGGCCCTGGTGGCGGCGAGCCAGCTGACACGCGCCAGCGCCCAGACCTCCTGCGCTCTGCCAGACTCGGTGAAGAACAACATCCTCCAGTATCAGGATGACTGTTGACAAGATCATGCAGGTGGGTGATCATGCAGAACGGGTGATAATGCAATTCAGTGCGCTGTTGAAATAAGCAAGTTGCAGGCATGTCCAACTCAGGATCAGTCTAAGTTTATGAGACCCGAAAGAACCTGCCGTGTTTATTTTATGAATCCTAATTGAAATTTAACAGGGAAAAAGTCGCACGTTTTCAGAATCACAATGTTTTCACCCAGACCTTGCCCCATGCTTCCCTCGGTAGGTAGCCATAACGAATGTTGAGGTGTGAGCTGAAAACCCGCAGCCGAGCATTCCCGTTTCGGCGGAGGAGTATCAAGGTCGGCCCGATTTGTGCTCCGTCATGGTTTGTTCTTCCCTTTTGCTCTTTCTCAACGGCATGACACGCAAAAGGCGGGCGAAGCGGCGGACGCGATTGGCTTCCATCGTTCGTCACTGAAGGTAGCTGTAGCAGATGTCTTTTCGGACGCTGAACGTGCTGTGGAATCATGCTGGAAGAAACCTCTACATTGTAAAGCACGACTGGGTACTTCCTTCGAGCTCTGCATTTCCCGATGCCGTACGAAATTTGAACCGTGCAGCAGCGATCTGTCATGTCTGCGTGATTCCAAGCTTGCAAGCTCGCGGCGTGGGCCTCCAAAGTTGTGTAATGGTTTTTAATGTATACCCGACGTGGGCTGCGCGTAGACAACTTCATCTAGACACCTTTACCCGCCTACACATGTCCTCTCCAGTCATAGTCTTGCAACCCAAGATGCCGAAGTTGGCATAGGAGCGCCCTGAGGCCAGCCATTCCTGTGGAGTGTGATGGCGCAGAGGCGACAGCGTGGCGCGTTTGGCTTGAGCGCGCCGTGTCCGGACCACGGGAGATTCTCACACGTGGAGCGGCAGCGGACCGTTTGATTGACGATTGTTCCGAGTGGTGGACCTCTCGGGACTGGTTCAATCGGAGCAGGGGACACCCGGTGGTTGGAAGGTTAGCTTTGCTGTCTCGCAGCGATGTTAATGCGAGGGATGTCGCGAAGCAGTGGTCAAATGCAACTTCGAATTGGATAAGTGCACGCATCCATGCCCTATCCAAAGCCACTGTCTTGTACTGGGAGGAGTAGGAGGAGGGGGAGGCTTTCCACATTCATGTGCAAGTCCCAAACACCGGAAAACTAAATATTGACATCGGATTTCCACTCATGCAGGACGTGTCCGTTTCACGGAGGGTACCCACAGGCATGTACGCGATCAAACACCACATATGACGCAGCAATTTCCGTGCAGAGGAGGATCAACAGGGGCGAGTCCAGGCTGAGATTCTCTGCCAAGCCTGCTCACTGATGAACTTCGCTTTAAACATGGGAACATGACATGAGAACATGTGAATATAAGCATCCGCCCACATACCGGAAAATGTAATCCGCAAGACCGATCAAAGTCCGCTACTTACGTCAGACATGACGTCAAGCTCTAGCCCCAATGTGGGTGGCTGGGGTCGCCCTTGCGCACCCAGGCGTGATGGACGCTAGCAGACTGTAAGCCCTGTGCTATGCTGAACTGACCAGTGACATTGAGGGAGTCGGCTGCAGCGAGAACCCCATGCAATCTGTGAACCACTGCGCTGCCTGATCCGAGCCTGTCGACCGTTTTGCGGAGTAGGCTCCTTTTTCGTGTACCGAATATGTGGCAAAATATTGTGATATGGCTCAGTCAGTGGAGGAAACGACTGTGGGATGGCACGCCCCTTGGACTGCGAGCACAATGCCTGCTGGCGTTCATTGACTTGAATGGTCGCTCAGAGTCGCTCGACCTTCGCCCGTCTATGAGGAAGCACACCCGCCGGCCTAGACTTGCTGCAGCGCCGGTAACACTGGGTTTTTTCCTCCACATCGATCGTGACGATCGGTATGGAATAGCGACTGTGAGACCACATCTCTAAATTAAATGGAATTAGCTGGGGCCAAAAGAATCTGTTTTACGGCTCTCGCCATCTTGCTGAGGCCATATAACCAAGGCCCGTTTGGGTTTCGCGGTCTGTTGTACTTGAAAACAAAAGCATGGTTGGTTTCAGAACAAATGCTTTAGATATTTCTGACCGAAGGGTGCAGAAGTCTGCCATAGAAACGAGGCGAACTCGGGAAGTTCGGTTGAGGGTGCTGGTGTGTAGCGAACGCTCTGTTCCTGCAGTGCCAATACATCAAGGCCACCGCGGCTCATCCACTGACATCTCATGTGAGCGGCTGTCCGTCAGTACATAATCTGATGACGTCAGCCTCGAGCTGCATGTTTTCTGGTAGACTTAGTTGCAAGTTCAATTCATTAAATTATAAAATATATTATGTTTATAGTATATATACATATATATGAACTAAATAATAATATTTAATTGAATAAACAATTTAATTAAACAAATAATTTTCCCAAGTCGTTCCGGGGCTATGGCACCAAGGATTGTCTGTCTTGAAAATCATTAAATAAAAGAAAGTTTATAACCGTCAAACCAGCTGTTCACACGGACCCAGCAGTCGCGCCCGTTCGCCGCCGGCTGACTCGACTGTCACTGCAGGCGGCGCTGAACGAGCAGCAGCACCGGCACGCCGCCTACGATGGGCTGGACGACTTCGTCGAGCGGTTCGGCGCACGGCCGTCCGGCTCCGACGAGCTGGAGGACGCCATCGACTTCATGGAGCAGACGGCTCGGCAGGACGGCTTCAGGGTCAGTGGCGGCGCGCCGCCGCGAACCTCGAGCGGCTCAGGCGCGCGACAAAAAGTGGAGCGAGACCGCCGCGCTCGCACGCTTTGCTGACTCGATGTACGTGCCGAGTGGTGAGGAAAGAAATGACGGTGCTGTGAGTATGAAACATGGGGTGAGGGGCATATCGGCACGCGCACTGCACGCGAAGGGCGTGACTGTAGCTTTAGCACATGATTTACCTTGGCGAGTGATAAACATTTTTACGGATATCCGTGCCACCCTTGGATGACCGCGAATATGAGAGATTTAAGGAGATAGTCTTCTTTCAAACGGCGGAATCCGCACAGTGCACGAGTGGGATGTCACTTAAGCCTTGCGCCGTATGGCACTTCTGTGCGCTGCACTGCTTCCAGAGCTGCATGGCATGGCCTGTGAGTCTGCGGTTGGTACACTCGTGTGGTTAGAAATTTCTGTCCACAACAAGTGTATGACGCGAATCCAACTGCCTCGCTATCGCAAAATCCGAAACATCTGTTGGAAACACCCGGCGGGTGGGTGCGGGGATCGTCTGCTCGCTCCGTTCCGCACGTGTCAGCGATGACTGTGATACCCGCGGTCACCCGTAACCTGAGGTCGTCTCAGGAGGGGCAGGTCCAGGCCGTTCTGAGGTGATGCCCCTGTCGGACAGGCGACGTCGGGCCCCGTCATGGACCAGCCGTCCATTGCAAACGTACGAGCGCGTCTCGTGTCGGGAACTGGTCTGCAGCGATCACAGCCCGTTGTCCTTACCGGGGCTACTAATCCGCCTGTTGAAGCTGCACTGCGGCAAGCAGCGAGCACTTGTTCCCCACGTGATATGTCTTCATTGTTAAGCAGTGACAGAGGACGACGACCCCGGGGTTCAGGTATCACTGCCATATGTAGCCATGCCATATTTATACACCGCTGTTCCAGGACTGCTGGCGTTAGATCAGTGTCGGCGATAGCGGAGCTGGGTTAGCGGCCATGGCGAAACTCTAACAGTGCCAGGAATATCAGCCTGGACTGCTTGCATTGAATGCTGATGCCTCTCCGTTAGCAACTGAAAACTTCTCTGCACCAAACTCGCGCTCAGCGTTTTTAAGAATGGTTGAGGTATAGTTCATATATATATATATATATAATATATATATATATATATATATATATATATATGTATATATATATATATATATGTATATGCATATGTTTATATATACAGTACACAGTATATATAACAGTATCGGTACCAGTCTTGCTATCATCAAACTTTGCACCTGTATTCAGGCATCGCCACCGAGCATGGCTTACATACTATGCTCTTACTGAGCAGTATCAGTATTTATAAGGCTAGCCTCATGAGTCCACGGTGCGAACATCTCTCCCGCCTGCCGCGTCAGCTGCGGTCTGGAGTCGGCCGGCTCAGCCACCTGGCTGAATAACCAACAGATAGCCTCGCCGGGTCGGCCCGTTCCCTGGTACTCCACATCGGGGCCGAGGGTGTCTCGTCGTGTTGTCACCGGGGCCGAGGTCAGGTCAGAGATGCTTAGGCATTCCGTGAAGGATCGGGTGGCATGAATGTTTGCTAAGCGTGGGTTAAGGTGATGACGTCAGATTGCTAGTCACTCGGTGTGTGTCAAGGCGACACGAATTACACGCACTTCGCATGTGGGCCTGCCCGGGAGGTGGACCGTAAAGTGGGCTGTGGACCGTGCCATGTGGAGGCCTATCACTTCAATGGTGGTGACCGTGGAAGAATCAGTGTGGATAGGATACAATCAGTGAATGTTATCTTCCGAGGATCCGTGTGATGGGTTTGCGGCCGATTTTTTTTCGTGAAAGTCAGCTCCCCAGAAAGCACACACGTACTGGTTCTGAATGGGTGACAGGACATATTAATCAACGGAAGAAATGACTATTGAGCGGATGTCTTCCAATGGCGGATTCAGCTGCTGAGTTTGTGGGGGGGGGGGGGGAAGGAAGCAATGAATGAGATCCAAGTAACGGGGTATATGTTAAAGGGAGCACGCCACCTTTTCGCTCTTTGCACGATTGGCATACATCACGACGCATACGATTTGATCAGGAATGCCAGTTGTTTTGAAATCGTTCTAAATAGCCCAGAATTCCGATTTGAAGTAGCCGTTCCTGGGGAGAGATCTCTTTGGACTCCCCGCTCACAGTATGTGAGTAACACATTTCATTTGCCTTGCTTTTTCCAAGGGATGTGTGGCCTGCAATGTTTGCAACACACTAACTTGTCCAACTGTTTGTAATAAGTGCTACGAAAGGTTGAACACTTTGTTTAAAAAAGATGTGCGAACATGAAGCTATTATGCTGAGAATTCAACGAACTGTTGCACCATAGCCTTTATTACTTTTCCCTTATGGTGTTTACCACAGCGAGTCTTTTCCAAGCGCCACTTTGACTTTTGGGAATGGTAATGCCATATTTTTCATAGGCCCACCCTGGTTCAGGCTTCTACAAATTTGCCTTTCGGTAACAGGCGCATTGCCGTCCGCTGCGCCAATCGGAAACTTTTTTATTCGCACCGGTAGAGGATACCACGGCGGCTGTGACGACGCCGGCGGTCGTGATGTGTAGGAAGAAGGCGTAGCGCTGTTGTAAAGCGATGACAGCGAAACATGATTCAAAATTGATATCCTTATCATGTTTTTACGGTGCTGCTCTGGCATCACCCATTGTTGTTATCACACGTAGCTGGTCTGAGGCTTGCACCAGAGTATGTTTTTTTTAAGATATGCTCTAAAAGTGGGAAACTCCACCAGAGCGGCGATTACGGCAACTGTAGATGGGTACGGGGGAGGTTCATCCGAGTTTTATGAAACGTTTTATAGACAAATGAATGTTATAGCTGCTATATGCCTGCAGATTGTTTTCTTCTGGTGCAGAATTTTGTCTACTCCACTCATCCTTACCATTCGGCCCAAAGACTAACCGGCCCATGCTAAGCTACTCACGCTTCTCGGAATGTATTTCCTATTGGAATGACAAGGTTTCACGATAGTGAAGGCATTTGCAGGGTTTGAACTGGGGGACATTCTTCGGCTTTCCAGTCAACATGTTGCATATGACCCGCCCAAACATCAGTGTTCCCTGTGATTGAGAGCAGCCTCGCGCAGTGCGGCCAGAATGGTATCATCACCAAGAAACAACGATAAACTTAAATGGCGCGGAAGAATGCCTAGTTCGAGCAACAACTACTCGATTAAAGCAGTAATAGCAACTTAAATTCTCATTCATTGTGCACCACGCATCGACCAGTGCGCACCACTGAGCGCTGCTAAGGAAAAATAGATCATAGCAGTTTGAGATGTTGACGAAAACAGCAAATTTACTTCTCGCACATATTCATGTGGGAATTTACCTAAAGCTTTGGGGAAGAAACAACAGTTTGCCGGCGTGTACTTTATTGGTGCTTATTGGTGTTATGGGTCTTGAAGCAAATAAATTGTTTGCCTAGCTCTCATTCTTGGTCTTGCTGCTTAAATGGTGCCAATGACATGGTATAACTCTTTAAAAATGCACCATGTTACAGACAGACTCGTGGTCATTGACTTGTGCATGATTTAAAACGACTTTTAGCCGCCCCCCCCCTCCCCTCCAAAAAGGAAATCGGAGCCAGCTGATAATTCAAATCAGAGGCATGTGGTCAGGTTTGAGCGAAATTCATCTTTGACTCGGACCGTTCTGTTTGCTGGCCGCTTCTTGAACATGAAATACAGGCTGAATCAAAAATGGAATCGCGGTTATTCAAATCAACAGCTGAACAGAAAACATGATATTGCAAGTGTCCAAATGAGAAAGTGTCTGTAAGGTACTTCATGGGCTTTAAAGGCATATAGCAACTATATTTATGGCTACCTAGAGTTAATCACTGGCAACACTATTGAGACTAGCAAGCACGCCTAGCGGCGGGTACCGGGGTAATTATTCGGTCAGTTTTTGGTAGTGGAACAGCGGCGGACCCCTTCACTATGCGCAAAATTACTTTCTTTGGAGGCCAAGAAAACAAAGGCGTAGTGTGCGTGAAAAAGCACACTTTTCTTTGCGCATCCCCCAGTTACATTTAGCAATAGATAGGTTTACTAGGTAACTCATAGGTAACTCATAGGTTTGCGTATTCCGGAGCGATATTGTAAATTATTGGCATGCTGTTGAACGTTGCAAGAGAGTGGCGGGTGCCGTTCGCAAACAAGAGCCCATTGAAATGCCGAAAATCATTGAGTTAGGCAAAATTGTCTTGTTAAGTCTTTCCGCACATTTGGAAACGTTTTCGGTATAGCGTCGATGAGGGTGAATGGTCTGAATGTGTGAACAGCTGTGAACTGGTGCGTGGGGTTTGTGAAAAAGGCTGAGCCTGTGCACGCCTCAACAGACGCCAGGATAGCCTGCAATAAGACCAGGCTCCAAAGGTGATTCCCAGTTCAATGCCAGTTGCTTAGTTCAGCTGCCTTTTCTGACCCAGTGTGGCCAAGGATCTCCTTACAGCTGGCCGATGCACTAGTCTAACTCGCCGCTCATTCCTCCGCGACATGGAGCAATTATGAATGTAGAATGCGTTTTCGCCGTGCGCAATAACTTGGGAATTCAGGCAAATTGTTGGCGGGTTCCGACCCTTTGTTTCGGTACGGCTTAGCGATGACCTTGAATGTAGATGAGTAGGTACGCTTTTCCTGGGTGTAGCCATCACCACTGTGTTGTATCAATAGGCACCAGAAAAAATTGAACGCGGCTGCCTGAGAGTAACACGTGATTTGCACGCGAATGTGTGTTCGGCTCATGCGTATGCACAATACATTAGTCTGCAAAAGCTTGTCGGAAGCTAGTGCCAATGTCGTAAACCTGCACATTTGTGATCATTAACAATGTGGCTTTGTGATAGTCATTGTGATTACAGATTATATTACTGTATGTGTTAGTTCAAAGTTATCTGGAAGAAGCTTGCTTTGTTGCACTTCTGCCTTGCTAATACTATGATCTGTTTTATAGATGTAAATATTGGCAAAATTATTGCCTAGCCTTCTTTTATTTTGGTTTGTGCATGCCCATTAAAGTCTGTAAGTGACTCCCTGCTACCTCATCGGCAGTTGTGTCAAAAAATGCCTGTAATCCGGAAAGTGAAGTCAAAATCCGGGATTAGCGTAGTTATTTGTGTGTCATTTTGACTTGTCTTCTATGTTGGCTCCTAGATTCTAAAGAGCGTTGCATGCCAAACTGCAGGTAACTCTTACAAATTGTTTTATAATTAGAATGTTTGTTGGCGCGTTGAAATCTATCTTTCATCGCAACTCGGTAGCATTCAACGCTGAATGGCAGAAATGATTGGATCACTTTGATTTTGAGTCAAACATCGCCATTTCATTCAAATTGGTTCATTGAATCAAATCTAGCCCATGTTTGGCGGCAGATTTGTTCTAGGAGTGAGGGCAAAGGCTGGGCGGATATTACCGTCAACCAACCAGTAATTTTTTACCTTCAACAACCCAGCCAAAAACGCATTTGATACATCACCTGTTTGATGAGGCGATGTATTTTTGAGGCGTGGCGATATCGCGACTATTTCTCCTCCCCACTCAGTTAGGGAAGGAAACGTTAAGCCTTCAGAACGGGAAAGGTTGAAGGCGGCCTGGAGCCGCAGCGAGACTCACACTGACAGAGGAGAGAAGCGACAGTCGCGCCGGCGGAGTGTGGGTCGTGTGTGCAGAGTGTGGGTCGTATGTGCAGAGTCTCATGCACAATCGTGTGCAAACCATGGATTCGCCACTTTCGGACATGTTTGAGGAATGAGGTCAGATATTGGCAACCAGAGCATGCAGAAACGTGAAACCAACGTACGGCGTAGGTGAACGCACCATGCACAATTCATGAAGTGGCTCATGATCGGCAGGTGCGCACGGAGGAAGTCATGGTGCCACATTGGGTGCGCGGCGAGGAGACGCTGCTCATGCTGCGGCCGCGCCGCAAGAGCATGTCCATCCTGGGCCTGGGCACCACCATCGGCACGCAGCAGTACCCGGGAGGTGTGCTCAAGGCCGAGGCCGTAGTGTTCAACAGCTTCGAGGAGATGGAGAAGGCCGGCAAGGCCAAGGTGGGTGTGGGAAGTTCCGTGTGCCTCGGGGGTAGGGGTAGGGATAGCTTGTGGTTTGGGATGGAGCTTGGAATTTCCTGGTGTGGTTGGTGGCGCTGCTAGTGGCGGTAACGTGTGTTGCATTTTTTTTACATGCTGGCTGACGCAATGGAAAGCCCAAGTGTGGGGCACAGCGATAAGCACGTGCGGAAAGTTGTCGCTCGGAAAGGAGATAATCTGTAGGCTGCCGACACGGAAACCTCCATTCTCAACCTCCCCACTTTGCAGGTGTCTGGGAAGATTGTCGTCTTCAACGCTCCGTTGGAGACACCAAGGACCTTCCCATAGACCGCTACAGGGAGTCGAACGAGTACCGTGTGCATGGTGCGGCCCCGAGCCTCCAAGCTAGGAGCGCTGGCTGCTCTGGTGCGCTCTCGCACGGACTTCAGCTTGAACACCCCCCACACGGGCTCCATGGATTACAACGTCAGCACGCCCATCCCGGCGGCAGCCGTCACGCCCGAGGACGCTAACATCATGGCGAGGCACTTCAAGAAAGGTGGGCAACTGCGCCAGCGTCGAACGGCGCGGTAGGAGTGATGCGTTCTTTCCGGTTTGACAGCCAGATCTGCTGGCTAGATCTGCAGGCGAAATCTACAAGCTAGATCTACAGACTAGAGTGCGAGTGTCACGCAAGGTTGCGATGGCGTCTGGTCTGACTGGCGTGATTCGCGTGTGACTGTATTGATCTCGTGGGCGGGCGGCGGTGACCGACGGCCCGTGTGTTCCAGGCAAGCCAGTGGAGCTGTTGCTGAAGATGTCGGCGGCGAATCTGCCGCAGAGAAAGTCTCGCAACTTGATCGTCGATTACGGTCCCGCTGACGCCATCGAGATGGTGTGCTCAGCGCCCACATGGACAGCTGGGGACGTCGGCGAGGGCGCCATGGACAACGGCGGTGGCGTCTTCGTCAACTACCATAGCACAAGCTGCTCAAGCAGCTAGGCCTGATGCCAGCGGACCATCCGCGTGGTCTTCTGGACGGCGGAGGAGGAGGGCTACTACGGCGGCAAGGAGTACATCAAGAACCACGAGTTCGACGTGCAGAAGATGCAGATTGCTATCGAAAACGACCTGGGCGTGTCCCGGCCGCTGGCCTGCGCATTGCCGGCTCGGACGCCGCCCAAGTGCTTCGTCAAGCACACCAACCTCGCTCTTCGGGACTGGCCAACTCCACACGCACGGCCGGCGACCCGCCGTTGTCGGAAAGCGCACCTCTTCAACGAGAAGGGCGTGCCGGCGGCGTGTATCGACACAGACCAGAGCCGCTACTTCTGGTACCACCACCACGCAGGCCGACACGATGGACGCGCTGGATCCGCGCGAGATGGACCGTGCGTGGCCACCATGGCCTCGGCCGCCTTCGTGTTCGCCGACGTGCCGGACCGGGTCCCCAGGTAGAGGCCTTGCGTAAGTGTTGTCTCGCGTGCACCACATCCTTATGCGCGCTTGAGAGCTGCACGCTGTAGTCTCCGTGGAGGTCGAGCTCTGAAGCTGGGTACTCCCCCCCCCCCCAACACACACCTGTGACAGCGTGTGTCTCGCGCTGTAGTCTCCGTGGGGGTCGAGCTCTGAAGCTGGGTACTCCTCCCCCCCCCAACACACACCTGTTGACAGCGTGTGTCTCACGCTGTAGTCTCCGTGGGGCCCGAGCTCTGAAGCTGGGTACTCCCCTCCCCCACAACACACCTGTGACAGCGCGCGAGATCGGGCACATTAGTACGCATGTGGCTGTTCAGTAGATCGGAGCCGTCTAACTCATTGTTCAGTGGCGGATTTTTAGTTGCAGATAGATTAGTTTGATAGCAAGCTGGTAACATTTTAGATTTGCATGCTTTTAATTTACTTATGTGCGCACAAAGACGCAAAATATTAGGACATTTGTCAGTTTTGCTTTGATGCCCTAATCGCATATGGCAATGGGGTGTTTTGCACAACGTTTGTAACTCGGAAAACACCCGATTGACTTGCATGTAGCTAACAGCCCCAGTTGTGCAGTGAATACTGTGGTTCATAATCCTTCGTCTCTAACATTTCTGCTTTGTTATCTTCTAACCCTCGCGCATGAAAGTTTAAGCTTGTTGTCGTTTTTTATTGCTCGGGTCCGAAAACCCGCTGACATGAATGTAACATGTAATACTGATGTTGGTTGATATTCCATGTTGGAGGGTCCAACAACCTCCCAAGCTTGCTGTCGAATAGCAGATTGTGTGAGAGGTTTCCAGTGATGCTTCACGGAAACGCCTTGGGTGATTTCTGCTGTCACTTACGTGGACCTTGTGGGTGATTTTTGGCGAGGCTCCAGACAACGGTGTTTTACGTGACGACACCTGAGACATCTCCTATGGATTATTCCAGCAGGGACTGTATTGCTGCCAATGTTTGACATATGCGTTGGCATCTGCTGGATCTGCGCTTCGTCCTTTCGGTTCCAAATGCAGAAATCGAGCGCTGCAGTGCTGAAATACATGACTTGTGTGTTGTAATTCCAGTGACGTCGCAGTGCCCCTGCGGTCAGTGAAGGGCTCAGCAAATGAGAGGTGAGAAAAGTGGTTATCAGCCTTGCATTCTGACAACTAGATTTGATTCTGCTATTCCCCCACACATTGACAGTTGTTTTTGTCGATTGGGTCTACTTTTCAATTTGAGCTCTGAGGACGTTTTAGTTCGGCCGACTAGATTCATCTTCCGTGACTCTGTGCATGTGCAATAGTGTATTATGTATTGGACTCGTTTGAATCACCACCAATGGTTATGAACAGTAATTTTGAACAGGATTTCGGTGAGAAACTGCGGCATCGCGGTGTTTTGTGGGCATTTAGACAATTTAAAAATACTTTTGGAGCGGTGCATACATTGTCTTCCATGCATTGATGTCACGAAATCTTACGCAAAGCTCCGTATATATATATATTACATTTTTATACATATATATATCTATATATAATACACATATCTAAGACACCACAACACACACACCACACACACATATATATATATAGATTTATATTATATATATATATATATATATATATATATATTATAAGTATATATAGTTTCATTGGTCCTTCAACATCATCAGGAACATTGCAGCCTACGACTAACAAACAATAGAATACGGAACATGCGTGGTAGCGTCGCGCAAATATCTTTCGCATTTCTCTTGCTCAGTTTGGGTCATTTGGTTATATGAAAGCTGCTATCATGTAACAGTACTAGTGGGCACCCGTTATAAGAATGAACACTGGTGAAGTCCTTACCCGGTTTTTCGCCCCCCCCCCCCTTTCTCCCATTTTACGGTCTGTTTCTCGATGCCAGAGACTATCCATACCACAACCAGCGTGCTTCGCATATCCATCTGCCGTTTGCTTGTCGGCCATTTTCTCCGGATGATACGGAGCTCCCCGCACTTTCAATTTCACTTTTTGTGTGTACTCGTATTTTCCACTAATTCGCATCGAGATACTGTCCTTCACTGAGCTAAATTCACGCGCCGCTTGGGCGCACCGTCCTGGAGGTGTATCATCATCCGTCCTGATGGTGTGATCGTAGTACGGCTGATGTGCGAGTTCGGTCGACGCACGCGGTCGCCGATGAGCCGTTTGAACTGTTGACAACGTGGGCCATTTGCAGTAGTAAATTATTTATGGACATGTTCTTCATGATTAGATCTGATGCTGTGCGAATTTTGGAAAACAAAAAAGTGGAGCTTGAAGGACTGCAAGCTTCACCTTGCCTTTCTCAGACAACACATTTTTATTCACACGACTCTTGCTGTCTGTGTTTTTGTTTCCACTTTTTCTCCCGTGACCATGGGCTTCACGTCCGTCAGTCTGGATCGCAGGTTTTTACCTTGTCAGTGCCCAGAGCACAAGGCATTTACAGTTTGCCAGTGCCCAGAGCACAAGGCATTTACAGTTTGCGCGGCCTGATCGGTGCGTTTTGCCCCGGTTCACGCCGATTGGTTCGGTGCTGTTCGCGCTAAATTTTCAGAACGTCACCAGTGCAGTGTAGGACCAGCAGAAAGGTGCTGCCATGCCGCTATACTCAGGGCGGCTACATTGGTGGAGTGGCGTCCACGTCCACCAGTTTCGCTTCATCTCTAGCCACGCCTCCGTCTGCTGCAGGAGCTCGGCCAGCGCTCGACGGCCGGCGCTATGCCTGGTGGCGGTGGTGGCGGTAGCAGCTCGGCTGCTCGGCTAACGGCAGCTCTCGTGCGTGCGGCGCCGTCGGCCACGCGCGCGTCGGCCCGAATCCCACCGCCGGGCCGAGTCCGACCAGCCGTCCGCCCGCCGTCGGCTGGGCTGACCTGGCTGTTGTGAGGGGAGCTGTTCCGCGCTGGGCTGACCTCGCGGTGGACGCGGCGCCGCCCACCGGCTGCAGCTCCACGCCCATCAGTCTGGATCGCGCGTTTTTGCCTTGTCATTGCCCGGAGCGCAAGGAGTTCACAGCTTCGGCAGCCTAATCGGGTTGTTATACCCGGATTCCCCCGATTGGACGCGGCGCCGCCCACAGGCCCGGCTCGTCGCCGGGAGACCGTGACGGACCGCCCGCCCGCCCGCGCGCGGGAAACTGTCACTGTGACGTGGTGTGGCGGCCGCTGTTGGATGTTGCCGAGGCGGCCGCTGACGGGACAGGATAGTTCGGTCCGCTGAGCTCATTGCCAGGACTTGACTAGGTCGTGCTTGTCACGGTGTTTATTTGACGACCTGCTGATGTTAATGCGAGCAATATGACGTTTCGAAAATTGTTCCTCCCACCCAATGCCACGGTCGTACAAGTTCCCGTCCGCCCAAGCCATAAACAGTGTTCGCAGTTGTTTGTAGACTAGGTTGGTGACCTAGCATTTATTGGGAGAACGTTATGTAAACATGTATGCAGTAGTTGTGAAAGTTTTTGGCGCAAAGTGACCACTGCCGTCGACGCGCCCGAAAACATCAATGAGCAACAAGTTGTGGAAGTCCCGTGACGAAGGCGTTCAATAACAACGCGACTGTCGCTTCCGTCTGGTAAGTTGTCGAGGACCACTGCAGTGACTCACGCGCCGTTCGCAGCGGCTAATATGCCATTTTTATAGGCACTGCTGTGCTGGAAATAATACAGACCTCGTTGCAACCGACCCGGACTTTAGCTGCAACTTTTGTTTCGCCCGTGTTTGAAGTTCGAAGCGGATTTCAGATACCGTTTGAAGATTTTGAAGGGGAGCTACACCGCCTCAGAAGAAAGCAGAGTCGTCGATCTATAAATATTTCGGAGGGCCCCGCCCCTGATGCAATGTGGATTTCGCCCCAAATAATGTTTTGTCAATCACAATATTTTCAGTGCATGCATTCAACGTCAAACGGCCTGAATCAGCTGGGGAAGCATGCATTCGGAGGGCCGTTATGTTGCATGACCTACAGCGGTCGACGCGCCCCTAAAGCCCCCCCCCCCCCCCCCGGAGGGCCGTTAGCTTGTGGGTCCTCAGCACGGTCCTACAAATGTCTATATGCAACTCACACGGACGCTCCTGGTAGCAAGAACCGTGTGAATACATGGACATGATTGCTTAAAAATTTCCAATGCACTTCTACGTCAATAGTTGTATTGTGTTTATCGTATTCTACCTGGTTTTCTGCTGAGATCCGAGGGGTTTGGATTGAGTGGTGGAGACGTGGTGTTATGAACAGGCCGTTGGGTTGCGCTCTCACTGCAGCAAGCATATCTTTCCGCTTCCACAAGAGCCCATGGGCGCAGACAAAGGGGAAAGGGGAGGGGGAAGGGAAGACAAAATCCCCTGACCCGGATTTTGGCTCGACTTTTTTCTCGTTTTTCGCTATAGATAGCTTCGGACAGAAGGTTCAAAATCGGCGTCCTGGGTACTTAATGAGCTCCAACCCCCCCCCCCCCCTCTCTTTCCCCTTAAGAAAATCCTGACTGCTCCCCTCGAAGTGCCGACGCTATCGGTACGATACCTGCAGCGGTAACCATCACCCGGCCTTGACAGCTACGACTGAAGAGTCGAGGCCCATCCTGTCGGCACAGCCAAGCCCAGGCCTGCAGTTGGGCCTGACAGGCCGGAGGCTCGCCTCGCCCAGCTCGGGTTTAGGGCCTCGCGCGCGGCCGCGCTGGGGCCGCGGCCGGCCCTCTCAGGTCTGCGGCTGAGCTGGCGGGTCGGCCCTCCGCCACGGCCGGCTCGCCGGCGGCCGAGGCGGCGTCGTGCGAGGCGCTGGGCGCCGCCTCGCGCTCGGTGAGGCACGGCCAGCGGCGCACAAGCTCTCGCCGGTACGCCGGGTGGCTGATGGCGTATGCGAACGGGTCCAGGCAGGCGGCCAGCTTGCACGTGCAGGCTGGGATCATGGAGATCAGCGGCGTCAGGTGCGCCTTGGCGCCGAACGCGCCCATGAAAGCGACGACAGCGTACGGCGTCCAGGCGAAGAGGTAGAGCGAGGTGAGCATCACGCCCACCTTCGCCACGCGCAGCTCCTGACGCATCTCACTTGCACCGGCGCGGATCGTCTTGACGTTCATCTGCGCTGACTGCGCCTGCATTTTGCCTTCGTGGTCGGATACCTGCACAAAGATGCGGTAGTAGAAGTTGACGATGCACGTCACGGGTAAGACGTACATGGCGCAGAAGATGCCGAAGATGTAAGCCTTGGTGTCCCACGTGTCGGAGAGGTAATCGATGCCGCAGGTGGTGAGGAAGCCCTCCGGCTGTGAAGCGGCTGAACTTCTCCAGCAGCGGCCAGCACCACCCACGGAGCAATGTACAGCCACATCAGCAGGACCAGCCCCAGCGCCGTTCCCATGGTCATTTTGAAGGTGACGTCCATGGGGTCGGAGATCTTGCGGTAGCGGTCGAAGGCGATCAGCGCGTTGGCGCAGGACGAGCCTGCACCGGAGATTGTACCGAATCGCGGCGGAAAACGGCACAGCCCACCCAGCCGAGCGCCGGACCTTGTTGGAAACTGTTGTAGATCATGATGGGCGTCTTGAGCATCATGAAGAAGTCCATGAAGGCCAGGTTGACGATGAGCATGTTTGACGGCGTCCCTCAGGTGTTTGGTGGTCAGGAAGATCCAGAGAACGCTGCCGTTGCCGAGCACGGAGACGGTATGGAAGAGGATGTAGATGACTCCGAGGACGTGGTGCGCCACCGGCTCGGGCGCCGGAAACGTCAGCCAGTGCGGGTCCACGTGCGAGAGATACTCGGGCGGCGTGTTCCAGCCCATCATCCGCACCTCAGACCTGGGGAGCACGTTGCGACACCGTAGTGACTCGACACCATTTTCAGGTGCACGCGTACGTGCCAAGGATTTCTAAATTATGACAGTCGCATGCGGCGACCAGGAAGGACGCTGCGTGCCAGGCATACCAATGAGGCATAACAACTTTTTCGCGGAGGGACAATAGTCTGCATTATCATTCGGTGCTAGTCGAACACAACAAGTTGAACAACAAATCGAGGGACGAAATGGCCGTCGGATATCCTGCAACGAGACATCAAGGTAAGCTGACACAAACGCTGCGCCTGCGCAATGCACGTCCGCTGCTGCGCTGCTTCGCTTTCTTGTCGGTGAAGACCGCTGGACGGCGTTGTTAGCTTCGGGCTTCCTAAGCTAATGTACCATTCCTTTCAACTATTTTATCCCACTCTATCCATTAACATATTCTTAACTATACATTTGTTTTTTGTTAATAAGGCGTATCCATATTAAAGCCACATGCATGCGTACGAGTTACGTAAGTACAATGTACACGATGTTCAGCTCTGTAACCTGAGAAGGGTTACTGGTAGCCCTACAGGGCTCACCCTACTCAGGTTACCACTCAGGTTACCCAGGAGTGGGGGTGTGGTTTCGGAAAATTAATTGAGGGCGGTTTGGGGTTGAACAGCGAGCAATAACTCAGCCTGTCTCCACAATGCGTCAGTAGACGGTTTTCTCTCTGGATGAGTCCCACTTGCTCAGCAGACAAGTTGGGGCCTCAGTCCTCCTCCCCCGACTTTGGAAAGTGGGCCAAATCCGGAGTAAGTCCGTTTGTAAGTTAATTTTAGGTAATTTGAGTAATTGATCACTGTTCAGCGTCCCCTTCTCCCAAACTCATTTAGCGAAAGAACGCCCCTTAGCTGGAGCTGTCCAAATGGAAAGGAAATACACCCCTGCCCACGGTCAGAATCCCACGAAGTCCGAGCTAACATGAAATCAAAGGGGGAAAAAGTAGAAAAAAGACGAAATGGACCATGGAACGTAATGAAATCAAACACTGATCGAAGCTGGCACCAGCTTCGTATCACAGTGCATTCAATTGATAACATCGCTCGCATTAGAAAGCTTTATGCGTCGTGATGAAACCTATGCTGCACAGTAAACACTCCATTACTTTCAGGTTTCAGCCAATTTAAGTCAACTTTTAGTCAACTTGGGCCCGAGCTCTATCACTTCCGATGACATATCCTTATATCAATATCGATGGCGACTGGACGAATCAATGGTCAACTGCTATCTAAAGATTTGAGATTAACATATAATACAGCTGCTGAGTCCCACCAATCGCGGTGGAAAACACTGATAATGAGGGATGTAGTTTCGCAATATGGTTTGGGGCTTATCAGTGAAAAATTACAAATGATGCATTCTACCCCCAAATGACGCCAACAAAAGGGTTTCTCCCGGTTTTGCCCACTTTTTCTCAAATGCGGAGGTGGGGAGGGGGGGGGGTGGTAGGTGCTGGTGCCCAAGTTGGGGCTGATCCATCCACCCCCGCCCCGCTCCCCACTAACTGAATAAGAAGCTACACCCCTGGTGCCAATCCACCAATACTTACCTCAGTGGGAGGTATGCTGGCGGCAACGTGCAATTCAGACCCACGTCCATCGCTTTTAATTTGGTGGTCGCGTCTCAGGAGCGATGAACCCAGATGCAAGACGTGGTACCAAATAGTGCAGTGGTCTTCTGAACGTTGGCGCCTTATATCCGCTGGATTCATTTGTCCATGGCTTCGTGCACTTTTATGTGTTCTTACAGGCCAACAAGATGTTTAAACTGATCAGCTCTAAGTCGATCAATAAGTGACAAATGCGATTTTCGTCCTCTCGCAAATACGCGCACGTCAGAGCTTTGTCTGCAGACTACTTGTCTTTTTATGCGAGCGAAGCCGTAGAAATATTGGTGGACTATAGGTCAAGTAAGTGTGTCCTGACTGAGAAGTTATCAGCTGGAGCGGCCCAACTGTCAGGCTGTTCGCTATCTCAGCCCCCACTGATCACGGCTCTGTGCATGGGGTCCGCGTAGACCTAGGCGTCCTAGATCTAGACCTTGGCGTGACCTAGGTGTGACCTAGGCGTCGATAGCCCGGACTCGCATCAAAACGGGGCCAGTACGATTTGACTGAGAAAGTAACGGCAAAATGCATGAGCAATAATGCGCTTAGCTGCGTGCAGCGGGCCACGTCCACTCGAGCGTGCATCGTCAAATACCGGTATAGGCATTTTAAGCTGCGTGCAGCGGCCACGTCCACTCGAGCGTGCATCGTCAATC